CGGACGCGATTGGGGTGCTCGATGAAAAAGTAATGGCAAATGACGAAAAGACCCCGGAGATTGAAGAAAACAGATAAGAAGAACAAGCAAACCAGGTTCAGCATTGATCTGATTACCGTAAAGACCTGACCTATTTGATAACGAAGGAGTTGTTTAATCATCAACGCCTTGTTATTGAAGAAAAGAAAACAGAAGAAAGTTGTGAGTGCGGGAAAAAGCAAGCAGGAAGCAGTTGCCTCCCAGGAAAAATGAAATCTATGTCCCTCTTTCTTTTATTATGTATTATTTAAAAAAATATCGGCTCCGCAAAGCTTACGCGATTGATCTTCACAAATAAATTAATGGGGTAAAAAGACATCAAATCGATCATGGCAATTGTATTGTCCATTAAGATGATTTTGAGAATTTTTGCAAATAATCTGGTTTAATCAGTTTTTTATTAATTTTTCTTCATTTCGCATTACATATTTCTCTACTAACTGCATAGCAACTCGAAAGCGTAAAATAAAATGATTGTCCTAAATCTTGTAAAAACTTCACAACAGTATCTCTTTGACCTTTTTTTTCTGCGGCTGATTATGCACATTTATCATTTTTTTTTTCAAATTGAAATTATTCCTTAGCAAGAGTTCTGTGTTTTGAGCAATTACATCAGAGAAAAACATAAACTGACATGGTGGTACATAGAAATATCTAAATTAATGGTAACACTGATTATTCCATAATTAATTTTTATTGTTTGATTAACTCAGAAACCCAAGGCTATGAAATTTAGACATTTTAAAAGAGTTGATATTATTCTTGAAAGATGGACAACTTTGTGCAAGACGTCAAGTCTCCAGAATGTCAGAGTGAAAAGTTTGATTAAGGCACCATCTATGCGGATGAGTTTTTAACCATCCGTCAATGCCAATAGATAGTCCTTATTATAATGAGAATTTTTGCAGCAGACACTAGGCCATGGAAATGCTTCGTTTTGGAGCTATTATTTATGCCCCACTATATTGCATTCCTGACCCACTATACTCTGGCTAAACAAAAAAACATGATAGTAAGGCTTGCAAAACTTCAAATTTTTATATTCTCCACTAACTAAAAAATCTCTATTTAATATCCCCAACAAAGAGTCAAAACGGAATCATACAATGTTTATTAGGGTTTCGACGGATTGGCCCACTGACACATTTTGTTGAAAATACACGTGAACAAACACACATGCTTTTCAGTGAAACAGTTGTAAGGGAACTGGGTGTATAATGAACAAGTGGGGTCAGTTCAATTCAACCTTCGTACCAACGAAGTTATTGATGGCAACTGGTTCTTGGGCATTACAGTTGTACGTGGCATGAAGTTGGGTAATTATGATGTTTTGTATCATTCTCCCAGTTCTAGTGACCAGCGTTTTGTTGAAGTTTTAGAGAACTGGCTCGAGGCATTCCTTGATTCTAGTAAATTAAATATATTAGCTGGTGATTTTAATATTAATTGGCACGAACCATAATTCGAATCATTTGAAGCATTGAGCTGAGTTTTTTAATCTAAAGCAAACAGTAAATGAATATACGCGTATGTCCAGGCACAGTTTAACTTGAATTTACCACGTTTATTCCAATTTTGATTCCATTTGTTCAGTTACGGATACTGATTTGAAAATAACCGATCATGAGACCTTTGTGATTAATGTCTTAGACCATGTTAACGATAACGATAATTTTGTAAAATTGAAGTGCTGGAGGAAATATTCGAAGCAAGCTGTTTCGAATCTTGTTGAGAGGAGCGTGGATTTTCCATTCGCGGCCGGTAACTTAGATGAATCTACAGCTGTTCTTAATAACGCTTTGAAAACGTGTACTAATCAACTAGTTGAGCAAAAGTTTGTTGCTTTGAAGAACTCGAACGGCTGGTACAATTTGGATGTGTTGCGTCTTAAATGGAAAAGGGACAAATGGTATAAAAAGTTTTGGAGATCAAATACCGACAATCATTGGAATAGGTACACAATCGCGCGTAATCAGTACTCACAATCGATAAAGAAAACTCGTTGTGAATATGTTCAAAGGAAGATTGATCAGCATCAAAACAACAGCAAAGAGTTATGGAAAATTTTGAAATCTTTATTTAAACCTAGTAATTGCAAACCACGGTCCATAGCTTTTAATGGCACATTAGAACAGTCAGAACAAGTAATTGCCTCTAAGTTTAATGATTATTTTTTAGACAGTGTTTCATTGATTAATCAATCCATTGAATTGGTCGCTGAACCTGACGAAATAAAACAGCCATTTAATAGTAGTTGTAGATTTGAGGTTTTTCACCCAATTACATTAGATGAACTAAGAGTTATTTGTTTTTCATTAGGAAAATCGGCTGGAGTAGATAATGTTAATGCTAGAGTTATTCAATATTGCTTTCATGTCATTGGCCACATCTTGCTAGACCTTATTAATGAATCATTACAAACTGGACTTGTGCCATAAATTTGGAAGGAATCCTTAGTGGTTCCTATTCAAAAAGTTGCTGGAACGATTAAAGCCGAAGAGTTTCGTCCCATAAACATGTTGCACACATTAGAGAAAATTTTAGAACTTATTGTTAAAGGCCAGCTGTTGGAGTATTTAAATAGTAATAGTTTGTTGATACCAGAACAATCGGGATATCGGGAAGGAAATTCTTGTGAAACTGCGTTTAATTTGGTGTTAGCAAAGTGGAAAGACAACTTGAAGCGTAAAGATACGATTGTTGCTGTTTTTTTTGGATCTGAAACAATTTCTAGGCCCTTACTTACTGTTAAGTACAATCAAGCGCTTTGGATTTACGAGTACTGCATATAAATGGTTTGAAAGCTATTTATCTGACTGAACTCAACGAACTGTTTTAATGATTCTGTTTCCAGTCCTGTGTGGAATAAATTTAGAGTGCCCAGGGAAGTGTATTAGGGCTCCTTTTATTTATTATGTATATTAATGACTTGCGACGTGTTTTACGGTTTTGCGACATTAATCTTTTTGCAGATGATATTGTGTTATTCATTGCAGCTAAGGATTTAGATCATGCCGTTTTACACTTGAATGAAGATTTGCGTTCTCTAAGTAGATGGTTGAAGTATAAGCAGTTGAAATTTAATACAAGTAAAACTAAATTTATGGTAATTTCTCGGAATCGAGTAAATGAGAACGTCTCTGTTGTAGTTGATGATGAGACTATTGATCGCGTTCGGGAGATTAAATATCTTGGCGTGATTATTGATGACACACTTAAGTTCAACTCTCACATTGACTATGTCATCAAGAAAATTGCCAAGAAGTATGGAATTCTATGTCGCCTGAAAAACGATTTAACCACAGACAAACAGACGTAACTCTTTAAAAAAGTTTCTCTTGAAAACATAGTATCTCAAAGCATAGGACCTCAGTAGCGACATCTCTCTGGCTTCTCGCGGAAAACAAGATTGCTCGCTAACTCGCAAACAATATTGCATACAAGTTTTATAGAATGTATAGAAACGTCAAAGTGATCCTATGCCAGCGCTGCGGCGAGTAGTTCGTGAAACTGATAATATTTAAATCAACCGTTAAATGCGTGAACGAAGATACACAATGAAGTGTTACGTCTGTTTTTCTGTGATTTAACTATTGCCAGTAAAATACAGCTATACAAATCAATCATCTCTCCTCATATGGACACGACAAAAATAGGTAAATTCAGTTCCAAATCCACAGCCACCTTATTCGTTAAGCTGATCAAAACATCATGGACCATTGGAGCTTAGAGCTCGGGGGTTCTCCTCACCATCCCTCTCTAACTGGGGAGTTTGGTAAAGAGAGATGATCAACCCGATTCGTACCTTCCTCAAAGTTGTCCTTGCTGGCTTTCTACTCTCTTTATATAATTTTCACACTGCCGTACTCTAACGCAGCTATCAACTCTATACTTTCATCTCCTCATTTACTTGAAATTAGCATCTTTAACTATGAAAATTTGTTGTTTTTGATACGTTGCTATTGTCTACTGTTGAGAATATGAATAGAAGCTTTACTTTATGCGAAATGTCCAACATTTTATTGGTTTATAAAAAAAAAACTTAAATTGCTTTAGATGCTCATTCAACCCCCAGTTCCCCTAGTACTTTGCGCCACAATTCAAAAAATGATTTCAATCTAGTTCGCTTCTCGAGCAAAGGTGTTCTTGGAAACAAAAAAAAAATCCACTTTGATTTTTTGTTGAAATCTATCACGAGCATTGATTGCGCGTTATGATGTGTAATGAATATTCCATGCCCTCCAAACTGGTTCTCGCCTCTGTTTCATTTCAATGTTTACTCTTGAGTGCTTCTAAGTATTTTATTGTTTGCCATTTTGAATTAGGAAAAGTTATACACATTTCGGCAAGCGTGTTCACCAGACAGTAAAACTGTACCGAACAGCGAAATTTCACTTCTCACTTAACCAGAATTCCAAACAATCGCATTTCACATTTCCTTCCAAATCCCGCACAAAATATCACACATATCGCTCAGCGAACAGCAATAAACCCTTGGCATAATTCACCGAGCGCCGAATCGGGTAAACAGCATAAATACATTTCTCGTCGCTTCTCTGGCCAGGAGAACCGGATAGAAAGGCTTCATCCGGAAATATAGGTTGGTAGCAAAACAAGTGCACGTAAAATCAGATCAAAACATACCTTCAACTCTGCTGCTCTGTTACCTTGACGGATCGGTTTCCCGTTCAAGTCGTCGCCCGAGTTAGGTTTGCAGTATTATTTTCTATGCTTTACTGAGAAACAACCAGAGCAAAATTCCATGCCTCACTCTCACTCTCAATCGGGAACTCATTTTCCTAGAGCTCTTCGTTTGTGTCCCACCGAAGGACAGTGAGACTGAGACTGAGTGACCCGAGGTAAGCTTTTGCCGGGACATGAGATTTTCGCTACAAGGCTTTGTGATTCATCTCGCGTTCTAGATACCTGCTGGCCATGGTTCAGTTACATCACAGACTCCGGCGGAAACGCATCATCTACAGACCGGTGCACCATCGCGGCCAAATACTCTAGGGTGTTTTAGTTACACGCTTGTTGGTAGTTGGCAGAGGTTCTGTAAAGCCTACCCGATATGGGAATGTGTGCGAGTGAGTGTGTTAGTCTTTGGGGCCAGTGATAAACTTCATCGTTGAAGATCACATCCAAAGTGACGAGGATTAAGGCAGCATTGTTATTAGTCTCGCTTTATGTTTCGGTGCGGTGCTTTTCTTCGCGTTATCCCGTTTTGTGCGCGGGAAGTGAAATTTTATCCACCATTTCCACTTGAGTTGCGACGCGCCGATGGTATAGCATAGTGTTTTAAGCAGTGCTGACGACAAAGTTCAAAGTGATTGATGAGCTTTTGATGTTGGAGATAGAGAAGGAATGCATCGTCGCTGTATCGCTGTACGCTAGTGCTCTTCAGTGTGTGTGGCAACAAATTGCGGTAATGGATCATTTGCAGTTGGTGAAATATGTCGCTATCCTGGTCGTGAAGAGCATGTGCGGGGCGAGTGAACTGCAATAAAAAATTTAATGAAGGCATTCTTGTGGTGGTCCCCGCACACAATGGCATGCGTGCCGGTGGAAATTGATTCATAGTGAGAAGAATGGAAAAAAATAATAAAAGCACCCGCTGATTCATGGTTCGACGATAATGATTTTTCGGTTTAAACGGGCTGTGTCTGTTTTCAAAATAAATTATTAACCAGAATAATAGCAACGATCATAGTGAATGGGGTGTTGAGATGAATTATTGAAGAATTGAAAGCACCGAGCATTGGCGTGTGAGGTTTTTCATTACCGGAGGATTAACTGCAGTGGTTATAATGGCTATATTTCTGAAGCAATACAGTGCGTGACGAGAAAAATGGAGCAAAGGATTATCAGTAGCGTTTTTGGATTATTGATCATCATACAGCACGGCTCAGGCGATGATTTAGGTGAGGTTTTTGATTCATACATGCACATCGGAGTTCATTGCTGTGACCTACATATATAGATGCCAAAGCTATTTCATGAATCATCCTTTTAGACTTCTATATTTTTGTACGTTGGGTGTCGTAAACCATTCGAACCGATTTTTCTGCTTTCGGGGATTTTTCGAACTATCGGACAAATTGGGCCGAAGGGTAGGGTACATAGATATATTAACAAAAGTAAATTTCACAAAAAATAGGGTTGCCAATTTTTCCGGAAAACCGCCGACTGGGATTGAACCCAGGCCTACTGGGGTGAGAGGCAATCACGTTTACCACTACACCACCGGCGCCACTAATCTTCGTTGGTTGCAAAAATAAACTCCAATTTTTTTTTTGAATTTGTGTCTCGTTTCTTTAGACGTTGAACACTCGAAAAATTGTTTAGCGTTGTTAAGTTCAGCACTTTTTCTTATGCTAGCATCCCTAGCCATTCTCTTGATGTTACCGCCAATGCCATCACAAGGACCTTTTCCATGTGAAGTTGGAAAAAAGGGCCATTCTGCTCTGATGTTAAAATCTTTGTCATGGCTACACAAGTTTTCAAAATTATATTTATTTTTATACTGCTCTGTGCAACCATCTAACAGATAAATAATTTTTTCAAGATCTGGAAATTTATCTTTTAATTTTAAAAGTAATTTCCATTGAAGATGTAATCCAATATTATGTTTTGTTTTTTTTCATATCTGCTATTACAATGAAATTTAAAACTTTTAAAGAGCAACCTTCATTGAAGTAAATTACAAAAGAGTGAATAGTTACTTGTGGCCTTGAAAAATAATGGCTTTGGATCGAATTTTGGATCAAACAAGAATAGTTCTCAGCGAAATCCATTTGACACTTTATTTCTTTCCCTGCAACCAAAGTTTCTTTTTTCATCGTTATAAACTTGATTTGCTTTTCAACTTTAAATAAACTTTTCAATTTGATTTTCTAAGCTTTCTAAAAATTCGCTCACATCATCTTCCTTGCTTATTTTTTTTGCATCGAGGAGAGGTTCTCAAAAAATTATATTTAATTTTATCAATTTTCTGTTCATCCAAATATTGTCCAACAAAATCAATTATGTTGCTTGAGTTGCACTGATCACATATACTAATTTGTTACACATAAAAAAAATTTCACCAAATACTTTTTCAAATATTTTTCCGTGTTACAATTTTTAAAACAAGCTGTTTTATGTAAAGCATCAATCAAAAATTTTCTGTTTTCATGAATCATGCAAACGCAAACATGCAATGCCGATGAATCTTTAGTAAACACATATTGTTTTGGTCGAAGTTTCCAAAACTAGGTAAACAAAACCTGCTGTTCACCATCACATAAATCTAAAAACTGTTATATAGTTCACTTTACGGAGCCTCCAACAGGCATTTTTGATAATTCTGTGGAGCTCCGTTTGACAGCTTTATAGAAATTGTGTCTTTCAATCTAGGAAATGGTTGACTGATGTCATCTCTAAGAGAAAATTTAATATCTTACCAAGCCCATCTGCACTATATGAAGATCGTCCTGCTTTTGATAAACGCTGCAGTCCTATTAAATTTGTTTTTGATTCAGTTATCATATGACGAGTGGCTTCTTCAAAATGTGATTGTATTTTGGTAAATTACCAACTTTTTGTCAACAATTTGAGGATTCCAATTTTTTGTTGTACTGTATCCGCTATTTGAAAAAAGAAAAATATTTTAAATTCAACAAAACAGATTCGAAATCTTCGTTCGTAACCTCATCAGGAAACCATTTCTTTCGGTTCTTTTCGTTTGTAATTAAAGTTTTTAACATTTTTTTAGACGAACATTTGTGACTATCTCTAGTGAACAATTATAAGAAGTTTCATGAAATTCGAAGATAGAAAAATAAAATCGGTTTAGCAGTTGGAACTTCTCATCTAGATTGTCTTCCGTACATTACTTTTTATCAGGGATGTTCACTGGCCACAATAACATTGGTTTACCTAAGCTTTGGCTCGTCTCCAATAATTTGAACGGTTACAGATTAAAGCCCTAGATTTCGTCTTGCCAAAAAACGAGATATCACTTTATGGGTTTCCTACAATTTATGAACACGTTTCTGAAGCGAGTCGTCAACCCAGAAATTTTTCTTAAATACATATAACGTATAATTTGCGACATAATGCTGACGTTTGCCAGCAGATCCAATCTAGATACCCGATCCAGGTTGGAACTGAATAATAAATGAATTCGCTATATGAGAATTTCAAAACAATTTAGTTATCTAGTGATACGTTGTTGCATGGTGATTACTTTGGTTAGCCATATTTAAGGAACAAGTCGCTTCAACCATGGATTATTTCGACACATCACAGCCTGTCTCTTCAGTGGTAGTGTAATAAGTTGTGAACTCAGCAAAAAATTAATTTTGATATCACATCAAAGTGGACGCACTTCAATCGTGTTGAAAATATGGCGTAATATAACTGGCCAAAAAGGACAAAATTATTATTAATATAGTGCATAAACTGACATTACGCTGCTTTTACTGCATTTGTTTATTTTTGTGGCCATAAAAATTATATGAGATTTTCGACATAATTAAAGTGCATCCGCTTGGATGTAATATTGAAATTTATTTTTTGCTGTGAAACCAAATAAAAAAATATCATTTATTTCGTCATGAAGTATAAAGTTTTCTACAATGTCGACATAATGAACACATTCGTATGTATATATGAGCCAGTAGAATGATGCAAAATTTGAAATGTTCGCTCCACAGTGTTCAAACGGTTTCACATCGGGTCCGGGTTAGCCTCCGAAAGTTTAAACTCATTTGATAAGAAACTGACTTGGCACAAACCATTTGAAGTTTGTATGGGAATTACTATGGGAAAACAAAACTTTTTGTTCATTGTAATTTAGCATTTTTACATGTTGTACTGTTAACAAATATGTTTTTGCTATTCTTATGGGAATTTTTATCAGCTACAACTTTGCAGAAAATTGTTGTTCAGTCAAGCGTCAAAATATATAGTTATTAATTGTTTAAGAGATTGATAATCTTGATTAAGCAACTGTATTGTGGGCAACACTGTATTCTGCAGTGTTACATAGTAGCCATGATTGTTGTTCTCTATTCTACGCGCCAGGAACACCAATGTTGCCTGCTGAACAGTTGAATAAGCATAATCATGAGACATCAGTGACTTGAATCATTAATAACTTTTGTCCCTTACATTTGATTGAAAAATAGTTTTCAACAAAGTTGTAGCTAAGAAAATTGGCTACAATCAATGCTATCATTTTTAAAAGCATAGTGATGTGGTGAATTGTTAGATATAAACAAAAACATAAGTTTTCCCATATAAACTTCAAATGCTTTGTACCAAGTCAGTTTCTAACTAAATGAGCTTAAATTTTTGGAGGCTAATCAGGGCCCAATTTGGAACCGTGTGAGCACTGTAGAGCGAAAATTTCAAAATTTGCATCCGTCTAATGAGTCAGCTTATTATCAAAATTCGTTTCAAGGTCAAAATTTGTTCGCTGAGGTTGAACTGAAACTGTTTCGATAGGTGGTTATTCCATAGGGATGGGCAGGTGGTTCAATCGGCTTCAGAGTCGTAGCTACATGTTCATAGGAACAACAAAGTTGAACAGGTTTCTCTCCTTATTTACATATTTGTGTTGCTGCTCACGCAAATGAAAATAACATATTAGTAATTGATAATCTGGTAATAAGAATACGGGATTTGATCAGGGTAAAACTTAACGATGTTTCAACATAGACCAACGTTTTCATCTTGCATCAGCATCTAAATATGAAAAGAGTGGTTTTACTTAGAGGCTATTATAAAGAAAAATACCTTACTTGCAATTTTAAAAATCTGTTTAGAATGGCTGGCGTTAGTGTGTTAATAAATATAACAGTTTGAAAAAAGTAAAATTGAGGCTACTTCGTTATTTTTTGAGTAAATACGTGTAACTCACAGTTACTCAATGTAAATATATTAGTTCAGAGTACAGCTGACTTGCCCCTAGATTGACGTCCTATATTGAACATAGTAGGCGGTGATAGTAAGCCTTTTAAAGTGTCTGGATTTGTGTCCAGATTTCGAGCCTTTACGGTTTTTAAAACGATGATACCCCGTTTGGAATTGAAACACTTGGTATACGAACGTTTGGTCGAATGAAATTTTAGCCGATAGGGAAGGGTGTGGATATTTGATCCTCATTTTGATTTGTTTTTGTATCAATATCTCATCCAGTACACGGAAAGACGAAACAACTCAAAATTAAGTTTTTTGTACTCATCTTGACACCTAATACCAGATAAAATTGAGTTCTTTTCCAAGTATCCAATTTTAAGTATTTTGCAAAGACATCATTTTGAGTAAAAGGTATCTGTTGCATAAAGAATGACTATTAGGTAAAAAAAACTTAAAATTGGGTTTTTATCTCAGGAAATTTTATCGCAAAAATTTGGATGTAATTGTTTCTCTTCAATATTTAAATCAAGCATTCTTATAAATAAAACATATTTTTTATTAATTACTATCAATATGTACACAAGTAAGGATCGATACATAAATTTAACAGTGATATTTTCTTTGAAAATTTTCTTCATCTAACCAACCTTTCCTTCCTCTTGACGGTGCAGTCCTAGCTGATACTGTAGATATCCATCTTGTGCTCCAGATTGACCATGTGTGGATGTCCGTTGTCCAGACAGAGGTATTCCTCAACCATAATCTTCTTTCGAACGGAGTCTATAATAATTAAAACTTCTGTATATTTCTGACTTTAAATTCACATGAACGTTGAAAACTTACCCCATCAGTTCAATGGTAATGTTAATTCACTACCTTATGCACTACCGATTATAGGTCACGAAATTCTGTTGCTTCCGCCAGAATAGAAATCGAAAACGAAATAAATATGGCGTACGAATTTTCATCCAAAATTAAGAGCAATCGCAACACTCGATTTTGGATACTTTCGAAGCGA